ATGGTACACACGAGGTGTCATGCACACCAGAAAATTAAAACAGCTGTCACGGTTAAACTTCATATTATTTCGGGTCCGAAAAATTGGTAAATATTCTTCAGACGTTCTAAAGTAAAGGTGAACAGCGTTTTTCTTAAAAATATCACTGTTATGTAGTTAAAAAAATCCGGAAAGTTCTCGCTTCGTGACTTGTTCAATACTTCGAACGCGGATCGAGTCCGTCCCGACCTTCTGTCAAAGCCTCGTGTTGCGGACTCTCTCGCGGACCCTCTCCCTCGCACCGTCACCTCTCATTGGCCAGTGTTTTTCGTTAATAACTCGTAAACAAAGCCTCAGATTGCAAATTCGCAAAGGAAAAAGTTACTTCAAATGACCTCAGCTACCCCTCATTTTCGGCTGTTAAAATAATTGTGGGACACCCTGTAGATCAGATCTCCGAGACGTTCTCTTTAAAACCGAAACACGTTCACGGTAACATCGCTGATACCAATTAATCGTGGATTATAATTTAAATCCAATCTAGCCGGGTCACCCCGAAAGGAAAATATTTGCGATAATATTGGCGACGCTAATTAACTGTGAGTCGTAAATCGAGTTCAATTCAGACGCGGCGGCGGTCACGCCGCGGTGAAAATTGTATTTATCGCGCGCTCGTTCCTTTCCATCGTTCCGCGGCGATCGACCTTCGCGTGCTGAAATTTTGTAAAAAGATCTCGGGGAACGTCGTATCAATTTCCAGCCGAACTTCCCGCAACTTTTGCTCATTGGACGTGAACGATCCAAGTCGTTTGCCCGGCGAGTATCTACAGCGGGAATCGTCGTACTCTCTCTCTTTTTTTTCCACCCTCGATCATCAATCACAGGAGGCTCGTCGGAAACGGGAAAAGATTGCCATCTTGGGTTAGGTCGGGAAATCTTTGGCGGGTCGACACTTCGAGAAAGTCGTCAAACTGTTGCAATCACGCCGACTACGACGACGAACGAGGATGTGCTAAAGATTAATGGTGCTGAAAATTGTCGGGAGAAGAGTATGATTTTCTTAAGCTGTACACAAACTATTCTACAACTAATGCACATTAACGCAATGCAAATGCACTTGTCAATTTTTTAAAGGGACCCTAACACGTTTGTAATTGTACAATTGTACAAAATATAAATATGTATGTATAATACGGAGTGTACCAAAATGTTGCAACTCCTGGAGCAGAGAATCCCTGAGATGATTTGAAGAAACTTTTTCCTTAGCGAAAATGCTCTGCGCGGCTTCGTTAACGAGTTATTAACGAAAAACGCTGACCAATCAGAGAGCGAGTGCGCTTCGTGCGCCGCCTACCTCCGCGGCGTCGAGGCGCCAGCCGTACTCGCACTTTGATTGGTCAGTGTTTTTCGCTAATAACTCGGCAGCGGAGCCACGGAGAACGTTTTCGCAAAGGAAAAAGTTGCTTCAAATCGCCTCGTGCATCACATCCGACACAAGTTCACGAAATTTATGGATATTCTGCGCGTACATGTATGATTTCTATTGTATTCTATATGTACATGGTATAATTAGATTATTAGTATGAATAGTAATTATTGTTATGTATTATCATATTGTCTCGGACGAAGTCAATTTGACAGCGTACTAAATGTCGATCACCATGACATTTTTCGTATCAATGGATGAGATTGATGTTCCAATGCATAATGGTTTCTTCTCGGACCGCATAAATCATCGGCACGGAATTCTGCGGCCGACGCCAGCGATCCGATTAATACTGATGAACCCCGCGCGGAACAACGTTTCTAGGTTCATAAGCGGACTTCATCGTTATTGATATTCCTCCCTTAGTGCTATTAATTAACATCGGTGCGCGGTTTTCCGAATTCGGAAGGGGCACGGCTTCTGGCGCAGCTCGTTACTGGCGAACCCACAGGGTGGCTGTTATCTCTATTTCTCTCCCTCTCTTTCTCTCTATTTATAACCTCTCTCTCTCTCTCTCTCTCTCTACACAATTCTCTATTCTCTCTCCCTCTCTATATTTATAATCTCTCTCCCTCTCCCGCTCTCTATTTACAATATCTCTCTCTCTCTCGTTTCTCTCTATCTCTACCAAATTCCCTCTCTTTCCTCTCTCTCTCTCTCTCTTTCTCTCTCTCTACCAAATTCTCTCTCTCTCACACTCTCTCTGTATCAAATTCTCTCTCTCCTCCTTCTCTCTCTCTCTCTCTCTCTCTCTCTCTCTCTCTACCAAATTCCCCCTCTCTTTCTCTTTCTCTTTCTCTACTAAATTCTCTCTCTCTCCCTCTCTCTACCAAATTCCCCCTCTCTTTCTCTTTCTCTACTAAATTCTCTCTCTCTCCCTCTCTTTACCAAATTCTCTCTCTTTCTCTCTCTCTACCAAATTCTCTCTCACTCCCCTCTCTCTACCAAATTTCCTCTCTCTCCCTCTCTTTACCAAATTCTCTCTCTTCCTCTCTCTCTCTCTCTCTCTCTCTCTCTGGCACTCTCCGTCTGTCCGTCTCGCTGTCTCTCTCCTCTCCGCCCCTCATTCGCACGCTCATTCCACCCTAGCCAACTCCCGGCGGGTCTGGCCCAGGGTGGACGTACAAAATACCGGGGTACAAGGCGCGGAAACGCTGCAAGAGGAAGGAAGCAGATTCCATTTGCGGCTAAATGACTGATGCGCCCGCGTGTTGCGCGTCACGCTATGACTCTGGACGTGCGATGATATATCGACGTCCGAGCACACCCTCTTTCGACCCTTTCGCCGCGAGAATCCATCGAAACCCTCGGCTCCCTTCTGGCAAGCTTCTACAATAACTTAACGTTCGTAATTTCCCTATCCAGATACTTCGGCTATTCATTCTCTAGACGTGACGTGCCGGCTTCGCAACTGTAATTACGGTGGAACATCGTTTATCTGAACCGTTCGGGGGTGGGGCGGCGCAAACCTAACCTAGACCTACTTCAACGAAATGCAATAAGTAACTGACGAGAACAATTCGGTCTACACCCTCAGGAAATAGAAAAGAAGCTTAGCGTGGGCGATCCAAGACATTCTCCGATGATGGACCCAAGTGCATAGAAATGAATCCACAAACTGGAAAGCTTGTATAAGTACTTCAGCATACACGAACCAATTCACACACTAGAAAGTTTACGTAAGTATCTAGAGCTAGATTCTAGTTCAATGTGTGTCCAGATTAACTTCAGTAAGGACTTAAATGTATAGTATCGAACCCACACCCAAATGAACTTCAATAAGAACCTAAGTGTAAAACATACAATTCACATTCCCAGATTAACTTCAATGAGCCCAGGAGAGCTTCAATAAGGATCTAAATGTGATCAATCCAATCCACACCGAGGTGAACTTCAATAAGGATCTAAATGTAGAGAATCTAATCCAACAACTAGATTATATTCAATAAGGACGTAAGTGTAGAGAATCCAATCCACGCCTAGATTAACTTCAATTAGGATCTAAGTGTAAATAATTCAATACACAGCCAGATGAACTTCAATCAGAACCTAAATGTAAACAATCTAATCTACATCCAGGTGAACTTCAATGAAGACCTAAATGTATAGAATCCAATCTACATCCAAGTGAACTTCAATACCTAATTGTAGGCAATCCAATCCAATGCCCAGATTAACTTCGATGAAGACCTAAATGTAGGCAGTCCAATTCATAGGCAGATTATATTTAATAAGAGCCTAGGTGTAGGCAATCGAATGCATACCCACGTGAACTTTAATATGGCCCTACGTGGAAAAGGTTACAATCCACACTCAGATAAAGTTTAATAAGGACCTAAATATAGGCAATCCAATCCAACGCCCAAATTATATTCAATAAGGATCCAAGTATAAACAATTCAATTCACACCCAGATTATCTTCAATTAAGACCTAAGTATAGAGAAGTTAGTTCAAACCCAGCTGAACTTCTATAAGGACTTAAATCTAGACAATTTAGTCCACACCCAGGTGAACATTTATAAGGACCTAAGTCTAGATAATTTAGTCCACACTTAGGTGAACTTCAATGAAGATGTAAGTCTAGACAATTTAGTTTATACCCAATTGAACTTCTATAAGGACCTAAGTCTGGACAATTTATTCCATATTTAAGTGAACTTCTATAAGGACCTAAATCTAGATAATTTAGTTCATACCCATTTGAACTTCTATAAGGACCTAAGTGTAGATAATTTAGTTCATACCCAATTGAACTTCTATAAGAATCTAAGTCTGGACAATTTAGTCCACATTTAGGTGAACTTCTATAAGGACCTAAATCTAGATAATTTAGTTCATACCCATTTGAACTTCTATAAGGACCTAAGTCTGAACAATTTCTTCCATATTCAGGTGAACTTCTATAACAACCTAAATCTGGACAATTTAGTCCACACCCAGATGAACTTCTATAAGGACCTAAGTCTGAACAATTTCTTCCATATTCAGGTGAACTTCTATAACAACCTAAATCTGGACAATTTAGTCCACACCCAGATGAACTTCTATAAGGACCTAAGTCTGGACAATTTAGTCCACACTTAGGTAAACTTCAATGAAGACCTAGATCTAGACAATTTAGTCCTCACTCAGGTGAACTTTTATAACGTCCTAAGTGTAGATAATTTAGTTCATACACAATTGAACTTCTATAAGAATCTCAGTCTGGACAATTTAGTCCACATTTAGGTGAACTTCTATAAGGACCTATGTCTAGACAATTTTGTTCATATCCAATTGAACTTTTATAAGGACCTAAGTTTAGACAATTTATTCCATATTCAGGTGAACTTCTATAAGGATCTAAATCTAGTCAATTTAGTCCACAGCCAGGTGAACTTCAATGAAGACCTAAGTCTAGACAATTTAGTTCATACCCAACTGAACTTCTATAAGGACGTAAGTCTGGACGATTTATTCCACATTCAGGTGAACTTCTATAACAACCTAAATCTGGACAATTTAGTCCACACCAGCTGAATATTTATAAGGACCTAAGACTAGAAGATTTATTACACACCCAGTTGAACTTCTATAAAGACTTAAGTCTAGGCAATTTAGCCACACCCAGGTGATCTTCAATAAGTACCTAACTCTAGACAATTTAATCCCCACTCAGGTGAACTTCAATAAGGGCCTAAGCGGACACAGACCAATCAGCCCACTAATGAACTCAAATAAGTACCTAAGCGCTCAAAAATCAATGCATACACTAGAAAGCCGACATAATTGTCCCAAGTGTTGACGATCCAATCCACACCCGGATCACCTTAAATTTTGCTTCCCCACTTTCTGAACCCCTTTCGTCCTTCGGAACGACGTTGTTCGGTAGCCAGATAAAGTATTCGGCCTGCGCAGCTACCTGATGCTGCCGTTCAGCTCGTATAGAGATATCAGGATCGGTCAGTGGTTTCGTTATCGATCGTTAGCGCGGGGAGTGTCGATGATAAGGCTTCGTTGAAGGGTGACAGAGTGCGCAGGTAAGGCGGGCGGCCGGGTGTTTAGCGCGACATTTATTGGATAGCGGTCGGCTGGCGGCGTGCTTCCGTTAACAGGTCGTTTTCTTTAATAGCCGGGATAAACCGACAAACCGTCGGCCGTTATTTCCGCCGAATCGACCGTAAAGAACGCCGGAAAAACATGGGAGACCTTTCTTGGGCGAGCCGCGCGGCCCCTGAGATATTTTCCGCGCGCGGGTAATTAACTTTTAACCGAAGATCAGGCGAAAGTGCACGCCGCCGCGCCGGGAAACACTTCGGCGGGCCGGCAAGAACCGACGGAAAACCTGCACGGAGTTTTAACGGTAATTGCCGTTGCCGCTTGGGATTCGATAATTGTTCGCGAAAGCAACGGGAATCGCGATCGAAGAAACCGTTTTACGCTGAATTCGTCGAGGTCTAAAAAAGTGACCGATTTGTATTGTCTTATTAAAATATTATGGTCGAGGTTATTCAAATGTTTTACAATTTGTATAATATTGCTTGGGTGAATAAAGAAATCTGTGTTCCACTTCCAATTGAAATAGTTGTAATAATGATATGATATAATAATAATAGAATAGAATAATAACATAACATAGTAATGATATAATATAATAATAATTTAATATAATAATAACATAATATAGTAACAATATAATATAATAGTAATATTATATAATAATAACATAATATAGTAACAATATAATATAATAGTAATATTATATAATAATAACATAATATAGTAACAATATAATATAATAGTAATATTATATAATAATAACATAATATAGTAACAATATAATATAATAGTAATATTATATAATAATAACATAATATAGTAACAATATAATATAATAGTAATATTATATAATAATAACATAATATAGTAATAATATAATAATAATAGAATATAATATAATAATATTAGAAAATATTGTTGTAAAATAAAAAATGTGCGGTCCAATTTGACGAAAACATAACAACCGAGTGTACGCAAAAGATTATTTATAATTTTAGCCACCGGTGACGGACTCTCGGTATTTTTTTTCCACAGTTTAAACAAACAAACTGAAATCCCATTTCCCGGGAACCGCGTTTTCTAAATCCGCGTGACAGGAAGCTAATTGACTGATCGGTTTCGGACAAAACCCATTCGAGCCGCTGTAACTTTATTCAGATACCAACAATATTACGATTATTTTTTGCTCGTCACATTGTTTCCAACAACGTCGGGTCAATACTCCCGACAAAAGAGGCACGTCGATACGTTGACGCGATTCTCCAACCGACCAATAAATAAACAACAACAATTCCATTGTTCTCGAAAATTGGCAAATAATTTTCTCGTAAGAGCAACGTTACCGAGACGTCGGTAAGACGGGAAATAACGTTACGGTAACAACATATTTTATAGAAAATATTCGATCTTAACAGGCGAAACGAAAAATCCTTCTTGCGAACTACTATTTTGAACGAAACGAAGCTCCACGCAAAATATAATCCAAATGGAGGCATACAAATTTTAGAGGTCAGCGGAGGTCGAACATTTTTTACGAAATTTTGTTAACCTTGACTTTCGAAGCATCCAAAATCCGTCTCGCAAATATTATGATAAATAATAACCCCATAAATAATGATAATAAGTAATAATAAATAAATCATAAACCATATATAATAAAATAACCTCACAATCTGGCTTGATATCAGTTTTCGGAAGCTGTTTCGAGCGTTCCCTTATAGGTTATGGTTGTTCTCGTGCATCCCGACAATATTTATTTCCGGATAGTCGAAAATTCTCCGAGCAAAAATGGTCGAAAATTATTCCGCTGTCATGATTTTTACACTCGGATCTATAGGGTGACCGAACAGGTCAGCTCGAGTTGCGGGGACAGGTCACCGGCTGACGTTGATCTCGTTATCTTATCGTTCGCAGCCCCACGTCAATACACTTTGTAATATAAAGTTTATATATTTCAGCGTGCAAAGCCCCGAAAGCCGAGTTTCCCGAGCGCCGCGTTTTTAATTCAATGGCGGTCGCCCGTAGATTATTCTGCATAATACAGTAACTCCGCCGCGAGTATAGAGCTCTCCAGACTGTCGCCCGCCCCAGCCGTTTCATCCCCCGCTTTTCTTCTCCGCCCTTTGTCGCGGAATTTTCAACGACCGCCACGATAATCCGTTACAGTCTCGTAAGAAGACTACAAAGGGGCGAATCGTTAAAAACACCGTGGCGAGTCGCGTTCAACATTTTCCTTCGGACAGCCGCCAGCTTGTTTACGATCACCGTCGGCCACCACGCACCGTGCGATCTAACCCTTTTTATTTAGTACCGTTAGTGGAGAAGCCTTCATATTGATGAAAGCGCGATAGATTGGAATTTTCTGACAAAGGAACTCTTAGACGATCTAGAATGTCGGGGATGCTTTTATTATACAGGGTGTCTCGGATGTACCTTTAAGACTGAATAAGGCGATGAGGCGATTGCCGAGACGATTTGGAACAACTTTTTCCTTTGCGAAAATGTTGAGAAATGCTTCGTTAACGAGTTATTAACAGAAAACGCTACCCAATCAGAGAGCGAGTGCGGCTAACGCCCCGCCCTCACAGTCAATGACGCGTTGTGCTCGCTACCGCGCCGGAACGCGCCAGCCATCTCGCGACAGCGTCCCCAGCCACGAAGGCGGAGCGTCAGCCACACTCGCTCTCCGATTGGCGCTTGTTTTCCGTTAATAATTTGTTAACGAAGCCTTCGTCAACGTTTACGCTAAGAAAAAAGTGTTTTCAAATCACCTGAGGAATCATCTCATCGCTTTTCGATTGTCACGCAAAACTCATGATAAATAATTTTTAAGCCAGCAACTAGCTCAATTAGATAAGCGAATGCTTAGGAAATAATAAAACGTACGAAGTAAACTGTTTGGGAAAATAATTATGAAAAATATTTTTGCAACAATTTAATATTTTTTAATATCTTTTTTGTTAGATTCACTTAGAAATGCAGCTTGTCTGTCCTCCAGTTAAACTAACATGGAAAGGTCCAATTAATTTTTCAAATGATGAAACACACACACACACACATTTCATTTATTTTGTTTCGATTATTTTCAATTATGCGAACGTATAATATCTCTCCACTAAAACACCATCCATCACTCAACTAGCACTTAACTATTAATTAACTGTTCTATGATCCGAACATACCCGTTTCTCTGATCCAGTTTGAATAACCGAGATTGCACTTGTACAATTGAAATCACCGCGCGAAGTTCTCCGAGGTTAGAATGATTTTCTCGTCCGCAAAATGATGGAAATCGACCACGTCGGAACGGTCGGCCCGGCCGAAAGTTTAGGGTTGTTCGGTCTCGCGGGGTTGTCGCGGGGCAACTTTCGCTCTCGAGCCGGCCTCGAGTGGCATTGTTCAGCCTGCACCGTTTATTTCGGGGTCTAACTGGAAACTGTTAAGGGAGCAGCCGGCGGCCGAAAGAGCCTGATAAATTCCGGCAAAAGGCGCCACTCTCTCTCACTCCCCGGAAAAAGAAACTTTGGACAGATAAGAGAGGGCCACGGTATCGCCGGTTATTTTTGACTTTTTATCCAGCGCCATCTTCCATCCCCGCCGCTGTTCCCTCTGCCGGCCGTTTACAACGACGCGGGACAGCCCGTCGGGAGAGGAAAGAGGTCAAAGCATAAATTACGAAGCGTCAGGCGATTCTGCCACCCCCGCGCGCCTGTCTCTCCCCCCCTGGCCGCCGGCAGCCCCCATCCCGTCGACTCTTCTTCTGCCAAAAATCGAAGGAAACTTTCGTCCGCGCCCCCGTGGAACGTCCCGGATTTATGGCTGCCACAAATTATGTGTTGCTCCGGTGAAAAATGGCCTCCCCCCTCTATCGGGCGAGCTCTCGGACTCGTCGCGAAACTTCTTCCTGGAAGACCGGCGTTCGCGCAGCCCGCGCAATTAGGCGGCTACGGACCTCGAGGTTTGCAAGACTACGCGGAAAATTGCTTAACCTTTTGAGCTCTGAATACTCCTGGCCGAAACGGTTCGTAGGGACGGAGCGCGGCTATCGCTGACCATCGCTGGGGGCGGAATACTTTTTTGCCACACTGAAGTGACTATTCAAGGGGCGCAAACAGTAATAAATTATAGTAATAAATTATACAAGACGATACTGCTGACTGAGTTGTTTTGAGTGATTTGAGTCGCGAAAAGGTGACAGTGCAGGTAATTATTTTGAAATCTAATTGGTTAGAGAGTGGGACACATAAAATGGGATTTCCGTTTCGGAAATTCCCGGGGATTTTTATGACCCTAATATTGCCCAGCCGCTACCTAAGGAAGGCAAATTACTAACGAGTGCCCCTGTATTAATTTTACACGAAAATAACTGCATATTGATTGAAAAAATCGACAAACGCATATATGCGCCCTTAGTCCAGGCCGATGACTTAGAGAAAACA